ACAAGAAGCTACTTGGGGCTCCTGGCATCGCTACTAGGAGCAAGGACACTACTACAAAAACCATTCCCTCCGAGGGTGGACTCCAAGTGGACCGTACTTACCCTTCCTCCTTGTCTCTGGAAAGGGAATATCATGAATCCGTTGCCAACAGGTGTCAAGCCGAGACTCTGTTGCATGGCTTTGTGGAGCAGCAAGCCTGCAGTGATTTGGACTTTCCATTGTCCAAGCTTATGGTGCTTGTGGCATGTCCAAGAGTCCAAGCTGTCAGGAAAATGAACTCTAAAGGCAACATTGTTGGTGGCACATCCATGCAAAACAACAAGCCCAAAACGAGCACCGATGGGTACCTCCTGTGGATAGGGCCATGAAATCTCTGGCTGAAAGATGGAGGCAAAGATATTCCAGCGTGATCTCAAGGAAATTCACCAACGACCTGTGTGACAAATGGAGACCACACAAAGGACGCCACCAGTGCTTTCTTTCTAGAAAGCATTCATCAGTACGCATGCAAGTGAGATAAGTGAAGGCCATTGTGCTGCTAGGTTAGTACTGTGCTCCACGTTGTCTAAGAACACCTGCCTCAACCTGGCATCCTCCACGACTCCAGGGAGCCCATCACGGGTTTACCGTGAGAAGTGAATATCAGCCACGCAGCCTAGTAGAGAAGCTCTTGGGCTCTTCTAAATGGGCTAGCCGCTGCTGCAAAACCAGAACTTCTGCCTCCAAATCCTGCGAGCAAGGTGATGGGTACACGTATAACCAAGTGGCGAAACCAGGCAAAAGAGAACTACAAGAAACAAAATCCACGAACTCTGCCTAGACCCGTATGTTAGCCACTTGCCACACGTGTAAATGAGTATACAGAACACTCACAAGACTTGCTCCTCACAGCAAAATATTCACGAGACAAGCGGTCTGCGTCCTCCAACTCCTTCTCCAACTCCTCCAGGTCTTCGTCACAATGATCGCTTACCTGCAAGAATAGAGTCCCTTTGCAACGCTGTTGAAAGCAAAGAACTGAAACTCACTCTCAAGGGCAACAGTTCAAATTATTCTATCGGCGCAGCGCTGGGCAAATATGCTCTTAAAAAGCCTGCAGTGCCAATCAATTTGTGAAGTTCCTATTATTAAAGCATATTAAAACATTCAGCAACTCCCAGCAGTCATCGGCAACAGCTAAGCTTCTGCCAAACTCCTCGCCTAGCAGGAAGCTCAGGTACCTTCTTGTTAGCAAATCACACAAATTAGCTTACGAGAAGGGCTCTTACGAGAAGGGCTCCTGGCATCGCTACTAGGAGCAGGAAGCTACAAGGGCCATTCTTCCATATGGCCGAAGAACTGGCAAGAACGGCCCTGAAGCTGGAGGGAAGCATACTTTGGTGTGCTCCGCTTTTCGTTGGTAAATACTAGAGCAGCGTTGGACCTACTTTGGTGTCGAGCTTTTGGCGCTTGAAACTAGCTATTCATAACCACCCTTCGGCTAAACTTGGAACAGGATTAAAGATATTAAAGGCTCCGTTGTGCATGGCATGGGCGATCAACGAGATGGGCTCCATTGACTCGGCCCAAAGCTGAGGTACTGTGACGGGGAGCTGCGAGTGCTCTTCCATGAAGGCCCATTGCGGCACTTGATCAACGCTCCGAAGCCGCCGAAATGGAAACTTGCAGCGACAAACATTCAAAAAATTGTCCAACCTGAGGGGATCCAATAATAGTTGGGAGGACGTTTCTGTCAGAAAGAAGCTAGTAGTAACAAGTGCCACGCTAGTAGTAACAGGTGCCTTACTAGTAGTAACAAAAAAGTCACTCTTGACAACTTGATGCGCTCTCAGAGTATTAAGTTTGTGCAAAAAGATGACAATGTGACATGCATTGTTCGCATAGTCGCAGTCATTGTCGCCTAAACATTGAGACCCTTAAACATCCCAAGAAGTGGGTTATATAAACCATGCTAGTCCGTGGATTTAAAGAACAAACTGCAAACGGAACTGAGGAATTGGAATTGTGAATAGCAAGCTGAGGGCATAAGCGCTTCTTCCTTGAGGCGTTTGGGCATGTGATCCTACCAGGGTGTTTGTGGCGGTGGCTTGAGTGTCAAGCGCGCAATCCCAAACGATATAGTGGACGATGTAAAGTGCACTTTAAAGGCTTGAGGTTCCATCTTCAACATCAAGCCAGAATTCTATTCGAGCGAGGACTCTGCGCTTATGATGTATTCAAGCGCACTAGGGTGCAATGCTTGGAACTCTTGAACATCTCAAAGTCTGCACTGATCCTTGCCGACTCTTCTGCCGTTGCGTACTGTTCGCTGCAGTAGAAAGCCATCAATACCCAGAAAGAGTGATACGTTGCTTTTGTGATCATCCTGAACCAACAACCTTTCACAACCAATAACATTATAAAACATTGTATTATGCATGTATTCAATAGATTCCCTGCTTTACATGTCATGTTTTCTCACACCCTCAACACAGGCTTTGTGGCTCTTTAGATTCTTTGATGCTTTGGGCCGCCTCCCACCTCAATGCAACACACTCCTTTTGTGCCAGCAGCGGGTGACAGTCAAAGACTTCCCATCTTATGGACAGTGACTGGTATGCCCTGCCAGATCGAGCGACCTTCTCCTATTTGTCCTCTTCTGTTCCATATTTGTTTCATTCATACTTCATACCCCATGATTGCGCAAAAGGAAAAAAGGGTGTGGTCCAAGTGCTTGTTTTGCCATGGCAGTGCCATGGCCTGCCTTGCGTTGAGGCTACTGCTCAGAGATGGAAGACAATGTGAAGAGCGAAAGGTTCAATGCGGTTCATTAGTTCAAGCCGTTTTGAATCCTGTCAAAATCGGCAACAGGGATCTACAGGACAGGCAGTATCTTCCAGTAGTTATTCGGTCGTCTTTGCTGTAAGGGCACACTGTTTCCCTATAAGAATGTGATGTCGATAACTGTCCCACCCTTGTGTAATCAACAAACAACCGCTCTGCACCTGCAGCACGTCTCAGGGTTCACCATGCCTCCGGTCGTTTCAAATGTATCAGCCAAAGTCAGAACATGTGGAACAACGGTATTTTACGACAAGATATGGCAAGCATGTCTCAACAAAAGCATGTGACTGAAGATGTGCCCGAGAGTAACTCAGTGTCTTTTTGAGTCACATAGACTGCCATGGACTATGGAGCGCTTCTAACTTCTAGTTCAAACACTTCAAAGTTATTCAAACCTGCTATGCCCATGTGCACAGCTTGAAAACAATTTAATGAAGAGAGAGGCAAATGAATAGCTACTCGACCCTGCGTACATGAAGCTGAATGGTTCATGCTGGGTCTTTGCCAGCTACCAAACCACCTTCACTCGTTCTTCGTGTAAAAGATCATGCAAGACAGCTCACACTGTGCCAGAAGATCATCTTCACTCCCCTTGAAGCTGTCGTTGCGAAGGTGGGTAGTCACCACCCTCCATCTCGGATTCTTGATGTACTTCCATTGCAGCACATGTGGCTGATAGTGACTTCCAAGGAGTTGAAGCATCTGCAAAGTTCGCCGACCCGTCGGATCAAAGACCTTCGACCGAGATGGACTTAGCTCCGTGATGATCACCTTAGGACGTTTCGATGTGACGAAGCCTTTGGCACCTTCGAAGACATCCGGCTCAAATCCTTCCACGTCCACCTTCATGCCACAAGAACTCTCCACCTTCAGCTCAGAACTCTCCACTTCATCAATCGCCACCTCATCTACATCTAAGCACACACCCCTTTGCCCACAAATTTGAGTCCCATCTGAGTTGGCTCCATCGACTGCCCCTTCGCCCAGCACTCCCCTGAAAGGCACCACCACCGTGCGCCGCTCGCCCGTGCCGGCGCCCACGATGCGGTGTGTGTGGAGGCGGATGCGGGATGCCAGATGGGTGTTCAAGGCCAAGTTATACTCCAAGAGCGCCACGAACCAAGGAACCGGTTCAAAGGAATCCACCTAAACAGGTCTGGGAGAACTTAGAACCATCAACTAGCATTAATCAATGAACAAACGTTGTCATCTTAGTACACGGAATCAAAGAAAACTTCAATTTGCACCCGCCACAAACAAGGAAATTCACCAACAAACCCTTCCTCACAGCCCAGGGCAGCAGCCAACAAGGTGTACCATCCAAAGTTACCACCAACATCCAGGAAATGGCCGCCCTGTCTGCAGCACTGACGCATCCTGCGAGCCAGCTGATAGGTCACCCGGGGCTCCAACGCCATGAAGTCCTTGTCATGGACTCCCTGCGTGATGAAATCCAGCAAAAGGTGTTGCTGATCGTGATCCTCCATGGGGAACATGTAGTAGAAAGCTGGGATGAGCTGTGGGACATGGATCCTGCGTGTAGCAAAGAGCTTGTGCCTTCCTATGCTCAGCCAAAGCATATGAAGATTGTGGAACGTTGGCGTGGCTTTCCAAGCTTTGTACATCTCTTCCATCTTCTTCACCAAGCGCGCGTTGTTGGGCGCATGAGACGTGGTGCCGCAGCACCGACCGTAAGTGTGTAATTCATCCCAGCAAGCGGGGTTCCCACCGGCGCCCCACCAATAGAAGTTGCAACAGAAGTTGAAGGTGATCTTCTCATTGAAGCACTTTGGATTGCCTCCAGGTCCGAAGGATGGGCCAAAGCATTTGCTGTAAGCGATTGGCCCAGCAAGGCAATCGACGGAGTCGGCTGCAGCAGAAATGGGAAGGACCAACGAAGCAGCTGCAAATTTCATGATGTTTCATGGCTCTCCTCGCAAGACCGTGTGTAGTATCTCAGAATCTTCTGTCGCAAAAAGTACCTCTTCTCGCCAAGGGCAAACTGTTACTGAAGAAATTCAATTTGCCAAGCGCAAGTGTTTGATTGACTGTGATCAAATTTTTGAGAGTTTGGGTGTGGAGTTTGGCCAGTTTTCAAGCTGCCAAGGCCGCCGCATGCCGCTCTTTTGTTTCCGGCGTGGCTTGGCTGCAATTTCCCTATGTATCTTCAGCACTTTGTATGGTCTTAAACTATCCGCAGCACTGCCCCTAGTACATAATAGATGCGCCCTGCCTTAGGGGGGGGGACTAGGTCCCCACCAAAATTTTCTATTTTATTAATTGCAGACCTTTTGAATTAAATAAATTGAAACTAGACCAGTGCAAATTGATTTTTTACATGGCAATTAAATTGGCAATGAAGGGGAGTGTTTATGATGGTTCGTAGCTGGATCTGGAAATTAATTGGGGGGCCTAGAGTTGTGTAATTGTAGCGGTGGTCAAGCACTCAACCACCCAAACACTTTTCATCTGACCACTCCCCATATCTATCAATATAATATAATATACTAATATATAATATAATCCAAAATATGTACCCTTAGATACCCTTAATATATACACATATATATATATATCCAAAATAGATCAAAATAGATACCTTAGCCACCAGAACACTAAAACCCTGAGAATTTGCAGGGTCTGACAATAAACTGGTGGTGGGGGG